TGCAAACCCACATATGCTTACTGCTCCGCTTCCTCCAGGAGTCTAAAGTTGGCCTCTTCTCTCCGATGCGTTTATACCTCAGAAAAGGTGCGTTTTGTCAGTGTTGTTTGCCCTAGCCAGGTTTAAATTGGATAACTGGCACTCGCTTTCTGGATAGCCACTGGCCTGGCTGACCTTGGCAGCACAACAGCTGTCGTATTTTCACATGGATGAACTGTTCTTGAACAACTTCTCCAATGTATTGGGAACAAACAAGCTTTTCTTCGGCATCAGGAATGCAGCAGGTCTTCTTTCCAACTATTTTTTTCTCCTTCCACAGACATATTTATTGTGGCAATGGCAAGAAAATCCCACTGCTAAGCCTTCGTGTTTGAGTTCCTTTAAATTTCCTTCAAGGGAGTGACAGAAAAGCCAACCTAGATCATGTCAGAGCCTGCTTTCTTTAATTTAACTCTTGGTTTATTTTTAGTAAACATGGATATTAATTTGTAGTAGCAAGAAAAGTAGGAGGGCAAAATCCTTTTACATCTTTATTGCTAGTATTTCCATTTCTGCTATATTTATTTTATTTAAATCACTGTGGTAGTTAGCAGTGGGATGCTGCAGGGGAGGGTATGGCCCAAACCCAAAGGGTTTGCAATGTGATGGACAAGATGGCAAGTGATGGATGGCAGGGAGTATTTTATATAAGTGGAGTGACCTCTAGCTGGTAGTGTATTTGCTGCATCCTTCAGCCAAAGGAGGAAATTCAGATGATGGAAGGAGCAGGAGTGAGGAGAAAGTCATCGGGATGTAAAAGTAAAATGTGGGAAGGCAGCAGGGGCAACCAGGGAGCTCAGACTGGGCTGGGGCAAGAGTCCCTCACTAGCAGAAAGTGAAGGGTAATGGTGAGAGCACAGTTCTGCTACACCAAAACCTTTTTGTGAATGCAGCAGTTAGAAAAAAAATCTTCATCTCTGAAAAGGAATTTTCTGTCAAGTTGTGAGAAAATGAGAGAACACTCCTGAAAGAGCCAATAACCCATTTGCTAGAGCTTCTACCAGGCAAACAGAAGTTCAGGTTAATTCTGCCTAAAGGTTTGTATTTAGCTGGTGGTTATATTTCTACATTGGTCCTTGCAGTAACTTAGAGACTGGTACAGTGCCATGGCATGAATTAACTACTCGGCAACGTCACTCCTTGAGTAGTTTTTGCAGCCTGCACTGAGCTGCATCCTATCACACCTAAGCCTAATCTAAAATTAACTGGTTTTCACCTAACTGCAGTCCCATACCCTCCAACCATGTGTCTGTGGGATAAGAAGCAAGGCCCAGAGTTCTTTGATTTAATAGCGACATAGGTCACTAAATCCAGGTGCTTTGTAAAAGTTTGCATGTTTCTGGACCTGAGCTGTCTCGTATGGAGCTGGTTTGTGTTTCTCTGCGCCGTATGCACCAATGCTCTTCACACCAGGGTTGTTAGTAGTCAGGAAGGGAGTCAGAAAATATGTTGTGTTTGATTCATGCAAAAAAAATAAACCTTCAGTGGCAGCAATAATTATAATTGATGACTGAGTCTTGTGTGGCAGAAGAGCTGATGCTCAGCAGTCACATAAGTTTGGAGAGAGAGTTGAAGATTTTATTGACACTCCTGTGTTTTGCACATTTTTTTCATTTTGGGAATGAATTTCAGACCCCGGTAGTTAGTATTAATGCTATATATCCTCTGTGGTTAGTATTAATGCTATATAGCCCTGCCAAATGGGGAGAAAGTTAGAACTGGAAAAAAATAACCCACTGTGAAGAAGTTAGATGCAAACAAACAGGGATGGATGTTTATGCTTACAAAGAGCTCAGCTCTCTTGGCACTTCTCCTGGACCAGTTCTGTCAATCTAAATCTGAGATATTTGCAGAGTGAAGTGTTGCTAATGAGTAAGGCTGGCAGGACCGGACTTGAGGTGAAGGTGGTACCTGAAGGAGCGGTTTAAAGCAAGAGCCTAGAGACTGGGCTGAGCCCCGTGAGTCAAACCACTGCACTCTCCCCTCGTCCTGTTCGCAGCCGCCTTCCCGCCAGAGCAGGGGGAGACCATCAGCCAGTGCATGCCCTGCCAACTCGGAGCTGCTCAGCTCTTGCCTAGAGAAGTACGGGGTGTTTTTGGGTAGCCAGGGGGTCTCTGGCTCTGGTGTGTTCCAAAATGATGTGCAGCGTATAGTTTGTTTTGTCTTTCAGTGGAATAAAAATAAGGCACTTGGCAGAACATGTTCTGTAAACTGGTGACTTTTTACTTAAAATGCAGTGAGCAAACTTGGCTGTGTAAGTTTGGTGTCTTGAAAATTCCTCTGAAAATACTGTTATTTTTAAGTTAATGTTTTTCTGGAGTTGATTTAATTCAAAGGAAGTGTTGTTTGCTTGCTTGCCTGAGGTTTTTGGTAGGTTTGAATAGATGAGCTTCATTTCTTCTGTAGTTTATCTTGGTGAAGCTTCTATAGAATTTGGGGAAGATAGCATAGTGCAAGTGGAGGTAGACTTAGAAACTTTGGGTTAGAGTTTGCAGACCCCAAAAACTAACTTGTATTGCAGTTATTTTCCAAGCCTTTGAGCTGACATGAGCTCAGACTTTGTAAGGAAAGGGAAGGCCCAGTGTTTCTCTGGAAAGCTTCACAAAGAGCTCTCCGTCTCTTTTGGGGCCCTTGAGTCAACCTGACAGACCCCCATTGCCCAGCGTTCATGCGTGCTGTGCAAAGCCAGACCGTGAAGGTGCTTTCCGCGTTTGCATGCCTGATGCTGCCTTTCAGCGCAGATATTTTTAACTATTCCATGTCCCAGCTCCACTCAGGCTGAGGCGTTGCTCCAGGGCTGTGGCAGACCGGGCGGGCAGCTGCTGGGCTGGGCGCTTGGCGAAGCCGTCAAAAATCCCCTGGCAAACCCGGGGCAGCGCCAGCTTCTCCCCGAAGACTAAGTGGCTCTGAGACTCTTTGCCACATAAGGGCCTGTTCGAGGCTGTAGGCACCAGCTGACAGGGATGTCTTTGCCTCCCAACAGATGGCCGAGCTTTTTATTTCAGCGAGCAATCTCATGCGGAGGGGTGGTCTCTGGATCCTGCCAGCATTTCGCATGACAGGGCCGGCTTAGGGCAAGAGGGATCTGATGTCCGTGCCCTTCATAGCTCATGAGCTAAATGACGAGCTGTTGACAGGAAAGCCATCATCTGAAGTGTAAGATCCTGAACTCTCCTTGCTTTTCGTTTTTCTTCGGTGGAATTAATGCCCTATTTGCTTGTCTCTCAAAATCCATTCTGGCACGAGTACAAACCCTCGCCTGGTGGCAAGCAGTTGTCTGGATTCGAGATGCCAAGATTTGTGCTGACAGCTCCTTCTACACAATCTGAGTCAGGCTGTCACAGCTGGCCATTAGAGGCTTAAAAAGACACACACATGTACAACAAATAGCACCAACTTTCCTTATTGAATATCAGAACCTGCTTGATGAGGAAACGTAGTGGCTTGCACCGCTTTTTATTTTAGTGTAAACAAACACAGTGTCTCCAAATCCCTATTCAAGTGTGGTGGCTGTTTATTTTATGAGGATTGCTTGCTCTTATTTAGGAGCACAGGTCTAGGAGGGACTTCCTCAAGCAGGAGATCCAGTCCTTGATAACCCTAAGGATCACATTTTCTAGTCCTCCTCATTACCTTATATTTCTTTAATGAAAACTGTCTTTTGTAGTTTCAATTTGACCTCACAGCCATTTGCCTAGTTTCATTTTCTTGGCATGGATGAAGAAGCACCAAAATTTGCCTCGTTGAGGCATCACGAGAGTGGGGCAAAGAATACTACTCATCAAAAAGAGTAGTAGATTTTCTGAAGCTGTTTGCCCTGCAGTTTTGCCTTTCTTGGTGGCAGTGAGCGGAAATTCTGCTGACCTAGCATTTAGTTTGGTTGCTAAAAGATGAATGCTCGCAAAAGTTAACTTTATGATTTAAAGTAAAACAGGATCAAATAATTCCCCGCCCCACTTTTTGTATATGGAGACAGGTCAGATTAGCTTCTGCTTAGTCAACTGATGGTTATTGCAAATGCAATGCTGCTCTGTCTGGTTGTGCTAGGTTTTAAACTTACCGTAGGATTAAATTTTGCATGGCAGAGCTTTCGTAGACCTTAGTCTGTAGTTTATTTTGGACAAAAGGTTGATAAACTTTGGCTGTCAGGGAGGAAGCCTGGAATCTGAGACCTACTATTATTCACTGACTTGTCTTTATGAGTTTACAGTCCACTGATGCATAACACTGAAGGAAATATTTTCAGTGAAATGTTTGCTTTTTTCCTTTGGCTTTGTAAAATGCAATGTCTTTTCTTAGAGATATATGTTAGGGTCATATAGCTACTTCAGTGAACTGTGTATGGCCAGGAAATAGACTGCATTGAAAGTATTTCATTTTTCTGTGAAGTTAGTCTTTTAACCAAGACTTCACTCCTTAGGGTTTTGGTCTCCCACTAATCACTGTTTGAGTATTAATTTATGCACAAACTGCTTTTAATTGTGGAAAGGAGATTTCAACTGCGTGGAACATTTTCAGTATTTTTGTATTAAATCAAAATTTGCACACGACAGCAAAGTTGGGAAACAAAACCCCATTTATACATAAGGGGATTTTCTTGGCTGGCATTTTTCTGTCCTCTTTTTGCCGTGATGAAATATACGTCTCTTACTTCCTTGCTGCTATGGATGGTACAGAGAGGCTGGTCATTTAATGTGGTGGGAGTGACTCTGCAAACTTTAACAGCTCTGGCACAACAGATCTATTAATTTAATGCTTAAATGTTTAGGATGTGCTTACGTGTTTTGCTGGATTGGGGCCCATGCAAGCTCTGCTCTCTCTTTGAATGGTCAGTGAGATGATTTGTCTGAGTTGGGAATAATAATGTAAATAAGGCTTTGTTGGACCAAATGTGCAGATGTTACATAGTACTACTATGCACTGTTTACATGACACTAATGTCTGTTTCTCTTTCTTCACAGGTTCTTCTTGAAATTTTTCCTCAAATGTAACCAAAATTGCCTAAAAAATGCAGGAAACCCTCGAGACATGCGTCGATTCCAGGTCAGTCGGACATGCTTCCTCCTTTAAAATCAGCAGCTGTTAGGGACAGAAGTACTTTGACCCAAACTAACCTAGTAATTCACTGGAAGATGCTAAAAATGTAAGGTCACAGAATATTGCCTGAGGACTTCTTGTTGCAGCAGAATTAGCAGGAAGTAGTTGGGTTTTCTTGCTCTGGACAAGAGAACTCTTGAAGATAATGTCATCTCTACAGGAAGTGAAAGTATGAAAAGGAAAAGTCAAAATGACCTCACTCTTGTATTAGGCTATGGGGCTACCCTGCTCTGAGATATTCCCCTCTGCCTCAGGAACTGTTTACCTTCCTGTAAACACTGAGCACCATGTTTATTGGAAAGAGCAGAGGAGGGTATAAGAGCAATTAATAAAGTCAGGCTTGTGACTACACTTCAGCAGTTATTCTTCAGCAGTGTTAAAGACTCATAAACGTGCATCAATGGGATGAAGGTCCATCCTGGTAGTCAGCTCTTGGAAATAACTACCATTGGGTGTAACTTTCTTGGGATGTTTTGTGCTGGTGTTTCCCCTCTGTTGCAGCATGTGGCAGTGGGCCTTGGGAACTGCAGTGTCAACACAGCTTCAGATGGCTGAAGACATTTTTTATGCTACATCTATGGCCACAACTACTTTTGGGATTAAGTGCAGCGCTGCCCCTTCTGCACTTGCCTTCCCCAGTGCTGGCAGCAGAGTGATTGTGGTGGCAATGCGGAGAAATAGTTGTTTCAGCCCCTTTATTGAAGATGTGGTCCTTTGGCTGTGCCAGTAATGCTTTACCTGAGTATGTGCTGAATAAAAATATGAGGTAGAGAGCCAAAGGACCTTCTGTTTCGATAGGAGGAGTGTATATGTCCCAGGGAGAAAACATGATAGAGTCTGTCAGTGGGGATTTACCTCAGGGTTCTGAGGAAGAAAGGAGAAATTTGTCCCATACACTATGTGGGTCTCTGGAGGAAGACAACTTCAAAAGTTTGCTGCTTTCTGTAGTAGCTCAGGACTTTGTTTACATCTTTTCCACCATTGTCACACTTAAATAAAAGTGCTAAATGCTATGGAAATGACAATATCATTTATATGTAGAACATATGTCTTTTGTTGAACTGCTTAATTGCAACAGTGCTGAAAGGCAGAAGAGTGTTTTTTGCCCCTCCAAGCACAGAAGTGCAGAAGTGAGGAGATGTGGCCACAGGGATTAAATTAATCAGTCTAAGAGCTAGCATTAGCATGGCAGAGCCCTCGGCTTCTCACCCCACACTCCTCCCTCTGTCAGGTTTCTCCTGTGATTCGAGAGGGCATTAGCACTGAAGGAGAAAGTGGAAAAAGGACTCTCACCAGCACAGGGATTTAGGCCAGGCAGTCACCCCTGGGGCCTGTCAGAGCTTGCTTCGCAACATGTACACTCTGCTGGGTTTGTGCTCGCCCAAGCTCGAGGCTGATTTTCATATGGTAATGCCTTTGCGTGTTCTCTCAGAACAGCAATCAGGAGCCTGTGTCGGTGAGTAGGTAGGACATAGGAAAGGTTGTTGATCTCTTGACTTGTAAAGACATTCTGTCATACAAGCCCAGCTTCACAGCAGTTGAGCTTTCTGTGTGTAAACAGAGACTGCTTAATTACACAGGTCATGTCAATTAGTGTGACCTTAGCATTTTCAAGAAATTAATCACTTTCAGCCGAGTGAACCACTCATACTATAGTACCGGGTGGTATTGAAGCTTGCAGTGTTCTGTTAAGTGCCCAGGCTTATTGTTTTACCATAGCTTTTCTTTTCTTTTCTATTTTTTTAAAATTTTGATCTTTTTGCTCTTTTACAAATAGACTTCTTAAAATAAAACTGCAAGACTCTACAAAATCCAGGCTTCATTTATCATTTCTTAGGGTGAAAAGAACCAAACATACACGTAGTATTTCAATGATACGATGCCCCTAGATGTTTGAGACAGTGTTGTATAGTGAAATCTGGGCCCTTGTGAAGTCAGTGGAGGGTTTACTATCATCTGCCTTTGAAATATTGCCAGTGACTTACAATAGTTATGTCAAAGTTCTGGTTAAAAACCGTAAGAGTAAGGTATTTCCAAATACTTTTTTTAAAATAGTAGCGCATACTTCCTCGCCCCCCCAAAAATGGAGTCTTTCCCTTCCTTTACTTCATTCCCATCTCTGTGCTGGACTGTTAAGCTACCAAGAGATTTGTCCATCTTTTGTCCATGGTCTTTCACTCAACAGTCTCCAAAAGTTGCTAGGACTTGTCAGAACACAGATTATGGTTTCAGTGAGAGAAACAGTGAAGAGCCAGGGACACGAGTCTATCAGTCTTGCACTATGTCAGGAGAGGTCCTGTGGAAAATTTCCTTTCTTAGTATTTTTTGTTTGTTTGTTTGTTTTTCCTGCAGCAGGCATTGCCTGATTAATATGTAGTATAAGAGAGGTTAAGAAAGTACAGGGAAGAGGCAGGGTGTGTGTTGATTCAGGCAACCTGTGTGTGAAACTTCATTCAGACTCACATGTAGAAATGAATTAGGAAGTTTTATCCTGAACATTACATGCAAATATAGTAGTGTGACAAGCCTAAGCATAAAAGCAGTTGTGGGCCTGGAAGGAAATACATTTTCTCTGCATGTCTGAGATGTCCAAGCATGTGACAACTGGAGTGGTGCAAAGTACCAGCAAAAGTGTGTGCTGGCCCTGGCTGTGTTTGTGTCTCGTAGCAGAAGACGACAGGCGGAGGAGAAGCCAAATACTGTGCAGGGACTCAAGACAGTTGAGCGTTGAACTCTGCTGCAGACTCCCTGCTTGTCCTTAAGAAAACCATTCCATCTCTGTGTGTTTCATCAGCCCAATTGGACAGAACATTTGGTGACATATATATTGTCACCTTTGTCCAGCCTTGCCTTCTTATTCGAGAAACCCCATGGAGCAGATGCTTGGCGTGTTTTTGCATCCTTCATCACAATAAGTCATCGTAGTGACCAAATTAATGGTAATAATAATAATAAGTAGATAGTATCATGGGTGAACTCTGCTCAGATTTTCCTTTTCAGCACTAACAACTCATTCATAGAACCTAAACAGTTTTGTGTGTTATTGTAATTAATGAAGGCCAGGTGCCTTAGTTATCTTGTTGTTCTTGTTTTAGCACAACTGCTTGCAAACTGACACATGTCAAGTTTTAATTTAGAGGAAACTTTTCAGACTGAGTCACTGCATAAAACCCCAAACATTCATTTATTATGAAAACCTTGGAAGTCACTTAGAAATTGCCAAGCTGTTTGACTCTGTTACCACAACCTCTTCCTCAGCCGAGGCTGCTAGTTTGCTTCCATGGGATGCTGCCACTCATGTTTGAATTGAAACCACTTGTGTCTTATTGCAAATTTGCATAAGAGACAGAGATGATGCTTCATGAATCCCAGATAATGGAATTTGGACATGCAAGGCTCCATCCCCAGAGAAGGGAAAGGAGGAAAAAAAAAAAGGCTGAAAAATAGCAGTGAGAGCTGTGGCCCAATTCAACAAGGTAATTAAGCGCCCGGCTGGTCCTCAAACACGTGAGCAAAATTACTGAATGGATTGTACTTATGTACTTGAAGTTAGGCACCTTTTTAAGTGTCTTGTTAAATCAAGAGTGATTTTTAGTTACTAGAGTAAAGAAGTCAACACATTGTAGGAAGAGGTCACCAAGTGGCGATGAAAATAAAGATGTTGCTCAGGCCATTTCTGCATAGCTTTCAAAAAGCAGCAAACACAGGAGTTTCAGTTTTAACACTAATGACACCCTTCAAACCTGGAAATGGTCTTAATCAGATTTTCTCTGCCTTTGCCACTGCATGTTGGGGACATTGCAAAAATACCAGATCCCTTACTGTGCATAGGAGAAAATTAAAAGCACAAGGAACATCCTATGTCTTAATCAGTTAGCAAAGCTTAATGGGCTGTGGTTAAAAATGAGGAGTCATGCAATGCTTAATTTTGATATATTAGGTGAGGTACTATAACAAATAAACAGGCCGAGTGCTAAACGTGGATAAATAGCTTGATCTCCAGGCTCCTGGTCTCTGAATAGTTTTTTTAAACTAAGCCCCAAATTATTCACAAACTGGACTATTTAATGGCAGGCAGAATAATTCTCAGAGCCATGATATGTTAATGCAGTTGATAGTGCCAACTTCATTGAAGAAAGTTGTAAACTGATGTGTTTCTTTCATACCTCTGTCTCCCCTGGTGTTGATACAGGATTTAAATTCAAAATCTATGAAGGGCTAAAGCTAAAGCTCAAAATCGTTTTCCATGTTTGCCTGTACAAAATTAAAACTCTGTTTTGTTGACAAAATTCAGAAAGGTTTGAGATTTGGCAGGCCTGGTTGTCCCTGTGCTTACATTAATGTGTCAGCACCTCATTAATCATTTATTAAACTGTAGTGTGCCTTTCCTTCTTGCTATGGTCTGTGTTTTAGGATGCCTCAGTGCCCATTCAACATATACTTTGGCTCTCCCCTCCCCCTAATTTTATGATTTCTCCACAAATTAGTTTTAGCATGTGCTTTAACTTGAACATATCCCAGTCGTTTCAAAATCAAAATGAGGAGAGTGTAGTATTTTTTTAGATTAAAAAATATGAGTAGAACTTGTAAGTACGTAAGTGCTCTGTAGCGATCCAAGTATGTAGCCGTGGCACACAATATTCAAGGTGTATTTTTTCCTCTGTTAATAATTGGGGGCGTTAATATTTTGTTATTACAGTGTATGTTCAGTATTTCTGTATTAATGAGATTTTTGCATTTAAAGAATTAAGCAATAAGCGTGTGCTGCTTCGTACAGGTGCACTATGAATAATCATTTTTTCCAACAGATACATAAAGTAACCACTTTTTTTTTCTGCATTTCCTGAGACTGGAAACAGTTTCTCTTGGGGATTCCTTTTATAGTTTCTTCTGCTAACGACACCAAAGAACCACACCAATGTGGTCTCCTTGTAGTAAATCAAATTCTCTATTCAGGAGGTGGGCACTGTTAAGTAATTCAAAATATGTTGCATCGACAGTTTCAGTAACCTAGCGGGGGAAATTTTAAATTTAGCTTTACTCACATAAAACTGACCTCACTAGGACTGTTTCCTCAAGTTCTTCCCTAGAAAGGTGCATATATGAAGACAGCTACTTATATATACGTTTTTCACAGGTTTGAGCCCTAACTTGCTATCATGACTCTTGTCCCGTTATTTTTCTGGAATCCTATTTCGAGGTTCCAGAGTTCAAAAGTTTGATTTTCAGCACAGGATTAATCAGCTTCAGTGGGAAATCTGTGTGTACCTACATGGTCTTAGGATTGGGGAAAATATTTTATATCAAAGCCATTATTATTAGTTGTAATAGTGTTCATTTTCGTATGCATCTAAGCAGACCCAGAGAAGAAGATAAGGAGCTGGCATAAATCCTGGAGCTGTGACAGGCAATGCCAGCTAAGGATTTGGCTCAAAATCCCAGTTGCAAAGAATTTACAATGGTTGCAAGTGCACAAATAAGATTGCAAACCCTGAGCCACTTACTATAAGATCATATTTTATTGAAAATATCATAAACTTTATTTTCTCCCTCAGGAATGCAATGGATAAATTACTTTTGAAATCCCTTTTGGAATTGTATATATAGGTCTTGGAGTTTTTTTCACCTTAGTTTGATTTCAGAAAAACTTACCTACAGTGTTCGGTGCTTTCTTTTCCCCAAATTTCCATCTGTAAGAGCTCTTGAATCATTTATTCTTTGTTTTAATATCTTTCACTTAAAACACACACAAAAATCTATTGCCTGTAATGCCATTCTGAGGGATGGTTTAGGATCCTTTAGATGTAAACTAGTCTCTTTTGTATTCCTCTTTTTAAAGACAAAGACTTTGGGATTAACTATGGGCAATTTAGCAGCATTGCTTACTTTATATTTCTGAGCATTTTAATCGGTGGTCAGAAATAGGGGGAAAATTTTTTCTTTAACTTTTTTTTTTTTTAGATCCAATTCAAGTGATGAAATTGAATTGTTGTAAGCGATCCTTTAAGTGTCCCCATTTGACCAACTTTGAGAGGCAGCAGCTTCCTGAGAGAGTTGAAGCAATGTTTGCCAATCCTTGTAAAGCATTTCACCTCTTCAGAGGCTAAAGCCTCTCAAACCCAAGAACAATTAAAGCGAGAGCCTTTCAGAGCGACTGGGGAATTCAGCAAAATAAATCAGAAATCCTCTGCGGTGGCTCTGGAGGCTTGCCTCATTATAAGAGCAGATCTATTAGCCCCCTTGCCATTGTCTTTCATTTCTCAAGTGAGGTGATTCTAATTAAATTAATCTGCATGTCAATCTATCGGTGATCAATCAAAAGGGCTGAGGTCCCCCTTTGCGGCAGTGTGCTTGCGGCTGACAGGGGCTGATAATGGAGGAAGAAATAAACTGTCGAGCAAAGTTAATTAGTCAACATAATAGGTGGATTAAACAGGAGCTGCTGATTGCTGTTTCACATGTCGAAGCATGAGGTGGGAGCTGAAACTGCAATTAACAGACAATTATTATATTTGGTTGTAAGAGGTCGCATGAATAAACATATCTCTGTGGGTTTCAGTTTTTAATCCCTTTCCCTGTTTAATGTAAGGAGAAGTGTAGGTCATTTCTTCTTATTGTTTTAGTTGAAGTTCTCGAAGGCGACGCGTGCTCCTGGCAAACCAGCAGTGAGCTGGGGGCCAGATCTTTGGCTGGGGTAAAACCCTGGGAACGCCGTATTTGTTGGGAAAAGGCTGTGGGACGAGGTGGCTGAATGAAAGCTGGGGAAGCTGAGGTTTGAGTGGGGTGGGAGAAGACCCAGTCTGATGGGCTCACAGCTCTCACAGGGAGCTGCCCTGTGCGTCCCCCCCTTTCCATGATGGTTCGTGGCCTGTCTGCCCTCAGCCTGAACAGGGATATCCTATAGGATAGTGCCTGTGGAGCCTCAGGGTTGAGAGGTCCCTCTGGACACCTCTGAGCAGCTGAGTCTTCTACTCTGGACCCAACATTTACCTGTTTGCCCCTGTGGGGTTGGCTCCTCTCCCGCCCTGGGCTGCTCTGGGGAGCAGAAGTGTCGGATCCTGCCTCCAGGGCCATGTTTTTCTGTCTCCCTCGCCTCAAACCAAATCCCAGGTGTTGACATTGAGATAAGTTGGGAAATACAAATAATTCTAAGGCTGGATGAATAGGGTTGTGTTCTCCAGATCAAGACCCCACTGTCAAGCGTGCGTGTGTACACAAACATACCTATACGTACTCCCTGAGACAGAGCTCGGGAGAAATTTGGGCAAGTTCAACAACCTGTAGTGACTGTACTGAGGGGAGAGCAGTAGAGGAGGATGGGGGGAGGCATGCAACAACTCTCACTGCAGCTTCACAAAATACACTTTTGTTTTCTTTTATTCTGAATCAATTCTAATTTGCAATGTCAACAGCTCTATCTACTTCAGCATAGAAACTGAAGGATAATTTAGGGTGAAACACAGCTGCCCTTGTATATACGGGAAAAATACTTAATAAAGATCTTCTTGTTAAAATGATGGTTAACAGTGTGCTGTCTGCCATGCAGCTACAAACTCTGCAATTTAACTTAAAACTGCATCAAAAGCTTGTGATGCCAAAGACCCACTCATCAATAGCGTCTCTTGTTAGATTTGTACAGCATAAGCACCAGTTATTATGCGAAATAGCTATGCAATTTTCTACAGCTCCCAGCTGTTATTTATTTAACTGAGTTTATTACACTCTCTGCTTCTTAAAAAGCGTACATATATATCCAAGTTCTCTTACGTTTTGCTTTTGTGCTTGCAGGTTGTGGTGTCTACAACAGTCAATGTCGATGGCCATGTGTTGGCAGTGTCGGACAATATGTTTGTACACAACAATTCCAAGCACGGGCGGAGAGCTCGAAGACTCGATCCCTCGGAAGGTACGCCTTCTTATCTGGAACATGGTAGGCATATCATTTTCATTGGTTGGCATTGCTACTTTAAATGTGGATTTGTTTGGTTTGTGTCTCTGGCTACTGGTTTCAAATTGTCCTGTAACAGTTTATACCTTTGGGACTGGATATTTTAAAGAGACTGGCCTCCAGACCAAAGGGGGAATTTTTCAAGTAGGCCAGCACTAAATGTGATGAAATGACAAACCAGTAGGCAAACATGGGTGCAGAGTCTGTCCTATGTGTCGATTTTGCCTTGATTTTTGACTGTGCATCTAAAGGATGTTGCATATTTTCAGAAGTCCTCAGCACCTGAATTTTGGATTGGATTTCTTCTATCTATAGAGTGCTGAGCTCTCTAGGAGATCCAGCTGTTCCTTTGAATTGCCCTAAAAGAAAGCAGAGCCCTTTTGGAAATCCATCTGCTTGCTCAAGCCATAGATGAATGTTCTCTTCTGGCTCCAGCTGTGCCAGCTGAGGAAGTTGCTCTTCCCTGCATTCCACAGCTGCTTGTCTCTTCTCACTGCTGCAGGCTATTCTCCACTATGGATGTGCCAGCTAAGATGGTTGTCCAATTGCTCCCTAGTCCCCTTCAACCCCAAGAAGTTTATTTGAGTGAAACACTTTAAATAATAACTCTTTGCCAATCGAGCTTTTTTTGCTGAAATGATAGAAGGAGAAATGGTGCAAGGCAATTTGGCTTTTCTGAAAGGACAGAAAACCCCAGCAAGGGTGGGACAGGGGCATGTGGCTGGAAGCAGCCTGGGGGACAGTAATCTGTTCCGTAAGATCAGCTGGTCCTGGAAGAGAACATCTGCTGGTGACTGTAGGTGCTTAAAATGGGAGTTGTTGAGTGCAAATGTACTTTGAAAAATCTGGATTTGATTAGTGCTTTGTTTTGCTCTTTGTCCTCAAAGTTGATGACTACTACTGAAAAACAAAACTAATACAGAGGGCATTTCACTCCCCTCTCCCTGTTCCAGCTTGGTAGAATAGCTCTTTGTCTTTGAAGCTGTTTGTCATCCTAAATTCAATAGGTGCTTGCTCCCTCTAAGAGATGTGTACCCTCAGCTTCCCTTGAAGTAGTTGCGTGTAGAAGGCACCAGCCCTTTATGCTGGTTTGTTTCACAAATATTTGCCAAGGATCTGATGAATAATTAAATAGATTTTTCCAAAGAGTTTGAAGGAACCAGATAAAAATTTTCTGTGGGAAAGTGAATGCCACTCAGACAAATGTTAACTAGATATGTTGAAAGAAATTATTAATACTGAGAAATGGGCAAATGCGTGGGTTTCTACTACCCAGTGGATTCCTGTGGAAATAGCTTTCTATTCTGTTTATGCTTTCAGGCATCAGTCCTGCGAGCACTTATGCATATATTTAAGATTAAGCACACATATGGTCCTGTTGGGATCAATGAGGCTTCTTGTGTCAGTAAAGTTGAGGGTATTGATAAGTGTTTGCAAAATCGGGTCTGTAGTTCACACTTACTAACCTAAAATTCTTAGCTCAGCAGCATTTCTCATTATATAAACATAACTTGCATCTGTATTTATTTAGCTCTAACTTTTTATGTAGGCTGTGAGCCATTTTCAGCCATAATTCATGTTATAGAATTTTTTTTCATCCTGCCAACAACCTAATTTAATAAACAAACCACTGTCATAATTTTTGCTGAATTTTTCTAAGGAATGTATGAACTCTGTCTTTATTAATTAGCAGAAGGCAGAACGTTACAAAAGGAAAGCTCTCTGTTCAACTTCGTAATCTTTCCATTAACTCTAGTCTTTCAAAACAACACTCCTGTTTTTTACTTATATTCCTACTAAAGTAGGTGCCATCTTTTAATTATTTTTTACCCTTATTGCAGTCTTCTCAGTCCGTGCTTTTGGTCAAGGCAGTTCTTACTTTCTCATGCATAAATGTTCTTACTCACATCCATGGTGTAATAGCATCTCATTTTACCACAGCTATCATCTCCACCCCTACAACCTGACGGATTCTGTTAGCAAAAAGGAACAAAAAAAGACAGTGCTATGCTTACCTACCTGCACAAACCCTAGTTACTGTGCTAACATTAAAAGTAAACATCTGCAAAATATCTCCATGTGTACATTTTGTTGGAAAGGTGATTTTTCCAATCTCCTTTCTCAGGCATCTCTCAAGAACCTTATAAAGCAACCACTAGTAAATTCTTACTTTTGAACAGCAACCTCCACACTACAAAATTGCACTCTTCCCAAAAGAAGCCTTTCTTTTTAACCTAAACCCTTCAATCCAGCTCTCCAGGAATTCTATGCACATGTGAGTTTAAATGTTAGTATTAGATATCTAGAACACTTAACTGAATGAAAAAAATAGAAAAGTCTCAACTGGGTTTAATACTATTGAAGTTTGGACACGAACCTTAGACCCTTTAGAACAGACGACGGTTTCCTCCACTGAAATAATTTTTTACTTTTAGTTTGAGTCTAGAAGTATATTATTTTTCCTCAGTTTTCAGAAATTTTATCTTGGATAATATCTTCAAGTGTAAGTAGCAGAGACTATTTGTTTGTCTTCCCTTTTTCCCAGCTTTTCTGCCTTCCTCGAGGGGGCAGATTGACCTGAACAGTACCTGGAAATGGTGAAATGGAAAGCTAATGTAGTCATGGCTGTTTTGTCTCTGGTTTATTGCTCTGCTGAGCAACTTCTGATCATAGGTTTTTAAATGCTGGGTTCTAGCTATACTATGTCCTTGACCAAATGTATTCCCGTATACTTTTCTGAATGTTTAACAAATGTCTGATCACAATAGAGATGAATGCCTGACTATGTGAGGACTGGGGAAAGGGAAGAGGGGATGCAGCAAGAAGATGTGCTGGTTGGCTAGTTTACTTAGACAATATCCATCTTAGTTTTGCTTACAAGGTTGTGTTGGAACACGCTGCTCTCAAACATGGAGTTGTAGCTTATGTGACACCTAAAAAAGACTTTGAGTGCCAAAAAGCTGGCAAGAAAGCTTTACCTCCAGAGCCACTCAGGAGCCTGGTGTCTCCACATTTGGGTTTTACCATCTCATTAGCCAGTAGCCCTGATTATTTTGGGGACAGCCAACACATCTCTATTTATATCTTGCTTTTCAGACAGTAAAATGAAAGTTCCTTTTCGTAGCTCATCACTTGGAATACAACTAGGAACCTAGATCATGGTTTTGTATCCACACACTGTCCCCCTTGAAACCAGCGGATTAAGAAGCTCAAATTTCAAATAAATATGTCCATCTTTTAAAAGTAATAGCTAGCAGAGGCCAATTATTTCATACATCTCTGTGTGGTATAAATAGGGTAAGCCACAGTAATCTGTGGTTTTCAGTAATTATCACTTTTTCATTCACAAATAGTTGGATCCTCACTTGTTTTATATTTATGGTAAACCAGAAAGCCAGTGTGGTTGACCTTTCTAAATTGTACGTATATAGCAAGATGTATAGTGAAGAGCCAATGGGCCCCAACCAGTAGAACGTGTTTCAGCTTGTAGTTCATCCCAGGGTGTCAAGTTTGAAAGCAAAATCATTCTAATGCAATTGAAGTGAGTAGCTTATGGAAGGGGGGAATTCTGACAGGGTCTGCAACAACCCTTTTCAAGTGTACCAGCATGAAGTCGACCACTGCAGATGTCTGCAAAGTTCCCAGTTAAAACTCTCATATTGCTGCGAAGTAAAAATTCTTTTTTACCCAAAATCTTTGAATGGCTTTACAAGAATGTAAAGCCAATTGCAGCATCAGTTTCTCTATTATTTTTCCTCACTGGCAGAATGCAATGCCCTCGAAAAATGATAGTCCCTGAGACCCTGTCAGTTTGCATGCTCTAACACTTTATTATCTAATGATCTAATATGCAACAAGGCAAAGAGGGGGTGCTTATCACCCTGACAGGATGCCTAAGAGAAGTGACTAAATTACTTTATGTACCATTAGCGCTAGCTGCCACGGTGAACTCACTGCGAGCATTTATGCAAATATTCCTGAATACATTCAAGTGGCCTTGTTAGGAAGACGACTGACAAGCAGCTTAAATGCTTGGGTTTTTAAAGGAACAGTTTTATTTCTTTTTCTTCCTCCTCCTCCTCCTCCTCCTCCATAGGAAAGCACTGAAGAATTAGGTGATGGTGAGGTTTGCTGGCAATTTGGTTCTGAGTCAGCTCAACAGCAGCAAAAGAGGAAAGCTGCAGGGTAGAAATAAGGACAAATTATAAGAGATGATGTCAGAATTTGGGGATGGAAACCAAGATTTCTAAAGCAATGTCCTGACATTATTTTAATATGAAATATATATAAATCTGTGTGAGTGTATGTATACCTAAAATAGGTCATTATATAACAAAGCCATCACTAGTGTCTGCTTTATGCTGGAAATTATGGTGCATGGCCAGATTATTCGGTCCTTCTGTTATGGTACCTGAGACACTCAAGCTTTTACTGTGTTGTTTTAGTTCATGATCGTAATAAGTGATTCAGTCGGTTTGCTGTCTGCAGGTGCAAAACCTCCTACAGCAAGTGAAGAGCAGTAGTTGCTGTGCCTCAGCTGGGTATGTCAGGTAGATCCTCTTGTCAGCAGTGAGCCATTTAAAGAGCTTTTCTTGCCAATCCTGTCCATCCTGGGCAATCTGAGAGCCCACAGTCACCACAGCAGGCACACACACACAAATTTCCCACTAAATCTTCAGATTTGAAAGGAAAAATGATTGCTAGGCTGTGTCTTAGGTGATTAGATATCTTCGATTTAGATTAATAAAAAAGGAAGGTTTTTCCCCACCTTATAAACTGTTTTCGAAGGATAACATTTAAAATAAAGCTTTGAGACTGAGTGCCTCTAAATGTCAGTGTATCTAGTCTGACTGTAACAGAATTGTTGAGAACGCTCATTGTATACCTTGAATTTAGCTGCATATGCTGAGCACTCCTGCTGATGATTCCTGAAAGATGCTCAGAAATCTGACAGTGCTGTATGTGGCTTTGCCACAACATTA